GAGGCATTTTGTTATCCTTGGCCTCAGTAATGCTGGTTATACGGGCATATTGTTGCTTCAGTTGTGATCTCTCTTACACATTCAACTAATTTTTTTGAATCTGTAACCCAGCTAATTGTCTTGCCTTGTCTTCTCTAAAACTTATGATGTTACTCATGGAAATCAAGCACTTGGCTCCACTGTGGTGGCTACTGCTATTCCCCTGGGAGATGAATGCTGAGGCCTCTGTTTAACTATTGACAACCTTTTCTTTTCAGGATTGCTACACACTGGAGCTGATGGTTTTGTTTTACTCCACTCACCTGGCAATACTTTATTTCCCATTGTCAGTGCTATTCCCTCTCATCACTTGAGGATGTACTGGAACACCTATAGTCCTTGGAATTGATTTAATCAATACTGTCTTACCACTTACCAAGGCTAACTTTTCCTTTTTGCTGTCCTCTGCTGTTCCCTCTGCAAGACTCATGTCTGGGAATTTAGCTCAGTGGCATGAGTGCCTGCCTTACAAGTGCACAGTCATGAGTTTGATCCCTGGGACCAAAAAAAAAAAAATCTGCAAGTGGCTTTGCTGTCTATGTTGGTTCCGTTTCTTTTGATATGCCCCAGGATCATTGTTTGTCTCTATTTACTCTACTTCCCTTTTCTCTTCAAACTTATTGCATTAGCAGCCCTTTAAATAGTGCTCTCACTGTCTTCACTGATGGAACCCCCCATCATGAAGCTGTAACATATGTTTTTGTAATAATTGAAAACACCTTTTTTCACTGCCACAAACCTCTTGTCAATGCAGTGAGCTCTCTGTGTTATCCTTCCTTTGCAAATTTTTTCAACCCATGTCCTTAACTTAGTTACTGCCTCTCATAATACTATCTCACACTTATCTTCTTCTCTTGTTGTCTCTCCTGTAGCAATAGACTCACACTTATTGTCTCTTTTTTACATCTCACAGGCTCCTCTTTGCCTTTAACATGCCACTCTTTTTTTTTACATATATGTAGTCATTAAGCCCTACCTGTTGTTTGATATGATAATGCTATTACTGATCAAGCACTGAATATTCTATTCTCTCTTTTTTGGGGCAAGGTCTTTTCAACAGTGTCTTTATAAGCATTTCAGCCTGATCTTGAGATAAATTTGTAGTCTATCCTCATTTGATAACAATAAAGAGAGCCCCACCTTTTTTCACCAATCAGTTTGTTCTTTCCACAAATTGTTTCACATTCCATCTTCTGCAACTAGAGCTTCTATTTCCACTGGTTTCCATTGTGCTGCCATGCCTCCCCCTTTTCCCTGTGATGCTGTCAACTCTAATGGCCTCTGCTCCAGTGACTTATGGTAACATGCTACACAGTGTTCCTCCTTAAAACTTTTTCATTTCTTCAAGTTTTTCTTGATACATTTTCTGTTTTTATTTGTGCTTCACAACTGCATGGTGAATCTGCCCAACATGTAATTCAACATCTCCTGGCTGCATTAGCAGTCAAGGGTGTATCTTCCTTTTTTAAACTGACAATGATCCAGCCTATACCTCACAGGCTTTTGCTTCCTTTTGTTCCATATGGCAAATTTGTTATGTAAATTGTATCCCCTATAATCCCAGTGGCCACACTATCATTGAAGAAGCTCATTATTCACTGAAATCTCTTCTCTTAAAATAATTAAAGGAGAAAAATGCACTTCCTGCACAAATTTTTACTATTCTGTCCATGGTGCTATTTACTGTAAGTGACTTCTCTTTGCCAACAAGGTTTTCTTCTTCCCTAATTCAAATATGTTTTTACCAGGCTATATCTCTGACAAAGCCTTTTGTATCATACAAAACACCTCCAGACTCAAGGGTCTGGTGCCCCTGCTGAACTGGGTAACATGGGATGCTTCTATGTTATTGCCAAGGCCTTGTGTGGATTTCTGCTTATTGTGTTTGCCCTACATGGAATGAGTTGTCACCACAGGCTACACAACATAATTCCACCATTTCACCTCTCCCTGAATCAAGCCTTGGATCCTTTTATGCCAGATCTCTGCTAGTTGGTGTATTACAAATCCAACTGGTTGATTTGTAGCTGTAAATTCTAAATTTTTAAGAAAGTATTATAATTTGGCTTGATTAAGGATATGCTCAAGCGTGCTCTGACTTTATGTTTGTCAGTCTGTCCACATATCAGTTGCGTGTTTGTCCAGTTGGTTTGCAAGCAGGTCCTGAAAGTTTCTGAGCTTCTGATTGTTCATACCAGTAAAGCAGAAAGCAAAAGTGCCCATACAGGAGTGCTCAAGGTGCACAGAACATCTGGGAAATGTCCTGAGGGCATGGAGTGCTGGAGGTGAACAGGTGTTCCAGCACGGGGAGCGTGGAGTGTAAGAATTGAGCTAGTTTTCTTCTGTTTTATTCCTTCTGTTTTTATCTCACTTATCTTGTTTTTATCTCTCCTGTGGCCATGGGCTCACACTTAGTATCTTCTTTTTACATGTACAAATTATTTGCCCTCACAATGCTGCACTTTTTCCTTTACATAAATGTGGTCATTAAGCCCTACCTGGCTTTTTAAAAGGTAATGCGATTTCTGATCAAGGATTGCATATACTCTACAGCCCCCCCCCCACTCCTTTGGCCTTTTTGAGGAAGGTTCTCTCTATACAGTTCAGTCTGGCCTTGGGTTTACTCTATAGTCTATCCTCTTTTTGATAACACTAAACAAAGCCTTGTCGTTTTTCACCAATACACTTGTTCCTTGCATAAATTGTTTGACATTGTACCTTCTGAAGCTAAAGCTTTTATTTCCACTGGTTTCCATTGTGCTGCCATACCTCACCCTTTTCCCTGTGATGCTGTCAACTCTCATGGCCTCTGCTGCAATGAACCTTGGTAAACATGCCACACACTGTTTCTTGATTTCCTTTTCATTTCTTCATGTTTCTGTTGACCCGTTTTCTAGTATTATTTGTGCTTCACCACTGCATGGTGAATCTGCCCAACATGTAATTCAACATCTCCTGGCTACATTTGCAGTCATGGGTGTATCTTCCTTCCTTAAACCTGAATATGGTCCAGCCTATACCTCACAGGCTTTTGCTTCCTTTTGTTCCTCATGGAACATTTCTCATGTAATTTTATCCCCTATAATGCCACTGGCCAAGCAATCATTTAACAAGCTCATTATAACCTCAAATCTCTTCTTGAAACAATTAAAGGAGAATAATGCACTTCCTGCACAGGTTCTTACTATTCTGTCCATGGTGCTATTTACTGTAAGTCACTTCTCTTTCCCAAAAAGGCTTATTACTTAATTCAAATATGTTTTTACCAGGCTATATCTCTGACAAAGCCTTTTGTATTATACAGAACATCTCCAGACTCAAGTGGGCAGGGGCTGGTGCCCCTGCTGATCTGGGGAAGAGGGAACATTTCTGTGTTATTGCCAAGGCCTTGTATGGAATTCTGCTCTTTGTGTTTGCTCTGCATGGAATGAGTTGTCACCACAGGCTACACAACATAGTTCCACCATTTCACCTCTCCCTGAATCAAGCCTTGGATACTTTTTACAGGATCTCAGCTAGTTGGTCTATAAAAAGGTGAACTAGTTGATTTATAGTTGTAGACTCTAACCTTGTAGGAAGGTTTTGTTATTGGGCTTAAGGATATGCTCAAGTACACTCTGATTTTATAAGATGTTTGTCCATCTGTCCATGTATCAGTTGTGTATTTGTTTAGTCTGTTTGTAAGCTGTTGTTGGGAGTCCCTGAGCTAATGATTGTTCAAGCTTATAAAGCAGAAAGCAAACATGCCCATACAAGAGTGATCAAGTGGCCCAAAACCTCTGGGAAGGACCCCGAGTGCTTGGGGTGTACAGGTGTTCCAGCACTGGGAGCACTGGGTATAAGAGATGAGCTAGTTTAACAAAGGAGTATTGAACAAGTACACAAATGGCCTCTGAGGAACTTAAGTTGTTCTCAAAAACCTCCACAAGCTCTTTGCTTATTTCTGTGTTTGTTTGAATCAGCACAGATTGTCTGTGTACGTTTATCCACTTGTCCACTCGGTGAACAACTGTTCCTTTCATTTGGAGCTCAGTAATCTTTCTCTTTTTCCATATCTGGATCACATAATCAAAGATTTGTTTCTTTACTGATTTATAAAATATGCTTGTACCTTGTTGCCAGCTATTCCAAATGTCACAAAGACTGGGTATATGAATGAAATATGTTGTTATTTACCATTGACTTGATAGTCTCATTACTTAAAATTGATATTATTAGGATGAATAAACAAAGTCCCTTATGACTGAGATTGCTGGACAGGGCTCTAATTGATAAATCAGAAAGTGGCTGCCTGGTAAAGTTTTTAACCAGTTCTTGTTTATTCATCAGAGACCTCAATGATCTCCATAGCCTTATAGGAGACACTTTAACTAAAGTCATGAAATGTACTCCTCAATGTTCACATTGGTCAATATCAAAAGAATTAATGCATTTTTTGATTTAAGATGCCTGAGTAAACTTTTCACATTGTTATGACAGTTGATTGTCACCAAATTCATGATATATTAGATATATTTATGTTTATGGAGGCATAGACCTCTAAGATTGTAAAATGGGGATTACTTATGGTAGCAGACTTTTGATTCATGTTTATACTTCAGCTAATAACAAAGACTTGTAAGATTCATATTCCACTAAAGGTCAATAAATTGGTCAATAATACATAAGAAACTTCTTGGGTATTAGATAAGGGTGATTGACTAAAACATATTTTATGTCAAAATAGAAATTCAGATTATTGCAAGGATGTCATGATACAACAATATGTATGGTTCTGATTTCTGATTTCCTATGTAAAATATATCAATGTTAACACTGTAGGTATTCAAATGTTAAAATATCCATGGATAGTAGAAAATACATTTCATTTAACATTCTAAGGTGTTTCATGTTTAGATAAAATAGTAATGTTAAGCTTACTGCCTCTAATATACTGCATTGTTATCAATCTTTTCTTCTAGATGTCCAACAGCTAAGGTTTAACCAAACAAAAAGGAGGGATATGTTAGAGCCATTGAAGCTGAATACTCATGCAGGGCTGTGATGTGGCCCAGGCATGATTAAACTGAGAATGAAGAGATGCCTCCTGGGACAAGACAGGCCACAGCTGAGGCCACCTAGATATTTTCTGTGGGATAGTTCTCTGCAGTTGGCATCATCTGTTTCTCTGAGGGGTCTTGAACCTCTACCAAGATCCTTATCAGGTTTCCTCCATTGTCCACTCAACTCCTGCCAGCATGAGTTGGCCAGCTGGCTAGCAGAGTGATGAGCTCTGCCATGGATCACTCTTCTCATGCAGCCCTGAAGACCATGTTGTGTTTCTCATTTCTTAGAGCCTTCTTGGGACCCTTTATTGCCATCTTGGTGCCTAAGAAAAGACCCCAACATGAAATATAAAATGTATCTGTTTTAAAGACTCAGCACTGAAATCTGGTATTGTTGGATGATGACAGGACCAAGTATCAAACCTGTTTAAGACAATTCAAGTATATAGAAGTTGTTCTTTTGCACTGTATTTTTTTTTTGGTTCACCAATGCCAAATCCTCTTACATGACACAACTTTCCTCAAGACATTTCCAATCCAATCAATGACCTACATCTGAATTATTTTCTGTAGGACACACACATAGATATGCAGGTTTTATGATATGTCTCCACCCAGTCATCCTGATGAGAAAATTAACATTCTGGAGCCATCTCAGGTCAGAGAGGAGAAACAGAAATCTAATTTTCCCTTCCTGTGAGCTGGTGGAAGTCATAAGGGGAATGGTGGAAAACTAGCCAACATGCCCATGTTGTGATTCTGTGGAAGCTATTCCATTTCTCAGAAGAAAAGCAAGAAACTTACACTTCCTGTGAGCTAACTACTGTATTGGCTGGGAGAGGAGCACCACAATCACCTCCTCCCACCACCATCTGACTGGTTTAGAGGACATGCTGAGTTGATAGCAATGGAGGTATAAAAACAACTTAATCCTTGTATTACTTGATTGGCTTTGCAGCCTAAGGATAGTATTCTTAAGCATGTATTTAAATTGTGAAATAATGGTAAAAAAAAGTTGCAACAACTTCATAAGTATATGAAACTTAACACTCTCCTAAACACCCAATGGGTAACAGATGAAAAAAGGAAGAAACTTAAAAATATCTACAACCTAACAAGAATATAGATGCAAAATCCTGTACCTTATGGGATTCAATGAAAGCAGTCCAAATAAGGAAATTTATAGTAGTCAAATCTCACATCAGGAAATAGAAAGAACACAAACAAATAATGAAGTGTTGCATCTCAATCTTCCAGAAGAAGAATGGCAAGACAAACACAAATCCCATACAAGGGAGGAAATTATAAGACCAGACAAGAAAGTCATGCAATGCAGAACAAGAAAAATATTCAAAGGATTAACAAATCAAACAGGTGGTTCACTGGAAGAATAAACAAAATTGATTAACCCTTGGACAATCATATCAAAAAAGAAAAAAATAAAGATTGAAAAACCATGCACTGAGGAATCAGAAGGATAAAATAACTACAGATCTTGTGAAAATTCAGAAGATCATCAAAATCTACTGGAAAAATGTATACTTTCATAGGTTAGAAAATATAGAAATGCACCGATACCTAGATAAATATGAAATGCCAATTCTGTTCCAAGAAGATATAAAAATTCTGAAAAACACAGTATCAGTTAATGAGAATGAAGATTTAATAAAAATTTATCAGCTGCTGGGCATGGTGGTACAGAACTTTGGAGGCTAAGGTACAAGTATTGTTTTGAGTTTGAGACTAAACAAGGCTACAAAGTGAGCTCAAGGCCAACTTGAACTGAATGAGAGCTGGTCTCATGAGCACATTGAAAAATAAGAAAAACAATGACAACAGAAAAGCAAATGATCAACATAAAAAAAGTCTAGGTCCTGGTGGATTTACTGCTGGATTCTACAATAAATGTAGAAAAAAAATTTAAGGCCACGGCTGTTTAATGATATTGAAAGAGAAGCTCTTCTCCCTAACTCATGCCTTGAGGCAAGTATTACCCCGATACTAACACCAGAGGAAGACCCAACCAAAAGAAGAAAACTATGGGACAGTTTTCCTAATGAACATAGAAGCAAAAGTCCTTAACAAGACACTAGCAAAGTGAATGTAGCAAATAATAAAGAAGATTTTAAAACCTGACCAACTTGGATTCATCCCAGGAAGGCAGGGATGTTTCAGTACATGCAAATCAACAAATTTAAATGTCATATCAACACAGGCAAAAACAAAAGTCACATGGTGATCATCTCAATAAATGCACAATAAGCTTTTGATAAAGTCAAGCACTGAACTGTGATAAAACCCTACAGTAAATAACAACAGATGACCTTTACCTCAAGCTGATAAAATAAAATAATGACGGGGCTGGGGATTTAGCTCAGTGGCATAAGCACCTGCCTTGCAATTGTGTGGTCATGAGTACAATTACCAGTACCAATAAAAAAGAAAATGACAAAAAATTCAGACAATGACAAAGAAAACCCCGCATCATACTAAATGGAGAATAACTGAAAACTTTCATTCTACAGTTATAAAAGGACATGGATGACTACTATGACCACTCCTATTCAATATAGCTCTGGAAACACTAGACAAAACAATTAGACATAAGAGAGAAATAAGAATAAGTATATAATAGAAAATAGTTAAATTATCATTATTCAAAGATGATATGATATTCTAAATAGAAGATGCTGAAAACTCCACCAAAACAGTCCTAGAATTAATAAGCAAATTCAAAAATGTAGCTGGAGACAAAGTTGACAATCAAAAATCAATAGATTCCTGTACACAATCAACAAACTCACCAAGAGAGAAGTTACAGAAACCACACCATTTAAAATATCCTCCAAGTAAATGAAATACTTGGAAAGAACCTAACAAAGAAAGTAAAGTACTTACATATTGAAAATTATAGTACTTTGGAAATGATATTGAAGATTATCAGAAAATAGAAAAATATCCCCTGCCCATTCTGAGCATTGTCTTTTCATTCTGTTAGTGATTTCTTTTGATGTACAAATAATTTTTAATAAGATGGGGTCACCGTAGTTGATTCTTTAAAATGTGTTTTTTGTTCAGGAAGCCTCATTAGTGTTTCTGTTTTAATATTTAGATCTTTGATCTAGTTTAACATATTTATTTCATAATGATAGACATTTCTCCAGTTTAAGTCTTCAGTAGGAGGAAAGTCATTTTCTTCAGCACCATTTATTGAGGAGGCTGTCTCTCTTCCACTGAACATATTTGGCTCCTTTGTCAAAGACAAGGTAGCAGAGTGTGTTTGTAGTTCTATTTGCATTTTCTAGACTTTTTGGATGATTCTCAGGTCTGTTTTTCTGCCAGAACAATTCTGATTTTCTGATAGTAACTTTCTAGTATTATAGCAAGTCAGGAATTGTGATGCTTCTTGAATTGCCTTTGTTGCCCAGCAATGTCTTTGGTGACCTAGAGCATTTCTGTTTCCAAATGAATTTTAGAAATGTTTTCTCTACATTTGTGAGCTATCTTAATGGTATTTTTTTTTGGCAATGCATTACATCTATATGACAATTTGAAGTAAGATTTTTTGAGTTTTCTCTATATCCTTGAAGGTAGTTTTACTGGTCTCTTATACTCACCAGATGAAACCTAACAGGTATGATTCTAAGAGTTTCAAACTGTTGAGTTCTTCTTCCCAAGGATATCCACAATAATATGATATTTTTGTCTGTTTGTTTGAGACAGGATTTCCCTATGCAGTTCAGGATGACTGTGGACTCACTTCTTAGTCCTGTAAATTCAAACAGATTGTCCTACTTCAGCCTCTTAAGTCCTGGGATTACAGGTGTGCACCGAACGCTTGAAAGAATTAATGCTGTTATTTGAAACATGAAGAAACAGTCATGAGATACTCATGTATTCATTAACTGCCATTCTCTTAAAGGAAATATGTCCAATTTAACACATAACCTCATTGGAATATAGGGAATCACAAGATAAGTTTCTATCTCTTATGGGCTGGTGATGCCAGTCTAGACTACTGCAGAAACAGGAGATGTCACAGGTAGGAATATGAATCAAATGTGAGTATTAGTATTAAGAACTCAGAGAGTCTTGTATTTAGGGATGATGAGGAAAAGACCAGTGGAAAACAATGAGTGACCAAGTGAGATTAGCTTGTCCTGACTGTAGATCACATTTTATTATAAGGATTAACATCACAAGTTATGACATATTCAAACATTATGTGCTTTTTACTCTAGAAAATAGTAAGGCTTGGCACTGTAGCTCAGCTGTATTGTAGCTTGGTATAACAGATGCCGTCCTGCACCCTGCATTTATCTAGTGCCCTGTATTTGACCCAGGAAAATTAAAAAAGCACTCAGGGTATAAGTTCCATGAGAAAAACAAAAGGAGCTGTATCCAAAGAAAAAAAGTAACCTCCTAAAAAAAGAAGCAGGATACAGGTGTCAAATAAAAATTCATTTAAGATTCTAGCTAAATTGTTTCAAAGCAGGATGTCTTTTGTGATTCTCTCTTTTAAAAATGCTTAACAATCCAGTTCAGGGCCACTTGTTTTGATTCTGAAATGGGGAAGGGGTCTGTATACAAGTTGTGTGTTCTGATCTCAGCTACTTAAATCCCAAATTTATCCTTTGGATGATTGAGTTCCTATACTGTTGTTCACAAACTCACCTCAAGATGCAGAAAGATTTACTGACACAAGCAAGCATCTGGATTAAATGTCAGTGCCCCTGAAATGAAAGAATAATAGTGAAAAGAGGGAAGAAAATGAGAAACACCATGTGTTATAATGCCCACCTCTTTTCCACAGCATTAAAGAGGCTGAAACAGGAGAATGGCCATGTATTCAAGGACAATCTAACCTACACAGTGAGAGTGAAAGGCCAGCCAGAACTACAAAGTAAGACTATGTCTTTAAAAACAAAAAATAATAATGAAAAATGTAGAAAACCAAGAGAGAGAGAGAGAGACTATTAAATAAAAACAAAAACAATAGAGCTGAATGAAAGCTGACATAAATTGGCAATTATGGAATGATGTTACTTTGGAAAGCTGGCCATGTAGTAGCATCTGGGCAGCAGTGAAAAATAAAGAGTTCGAAATGGTGCCTATAGTGCTACAGCACAACAGTGACCACCTTCGACCAACAAATCTGCAATTTGCTAGAATGAAGAGGTCCAAAAGCTCATGGAAATCTTAAACTCAGAGTGAGCAAGTAGCTTCACACAAAGACTTTGGAACATGGCCTTTAGCAGATATTTCATATTCAAATTGAAATAGGACAAATATAATCCTGCCCTGTTTGATGTCAAATGCACCAAGTTGGTTGGCTCACAACACTGAGGACTGAAGGCACAAAACAAAAGATGTTCAAAAAGTTTTCTCAGAAAAAAGAGAGGAGGATAGTCCTGGATTTTCAGGAATGTTCTTCAGTGTCTAAATCACAGACATATTGTCAGGGGTCATTTATACAGGAAACTCACAATCTGGGTACAGTGTGGGTCTCAAACTACAATCAACCTATAAGCTTGTAGTGGCTTAACTAATATTATTCAAACTTGGAAGAAGTCACCCAGAAAAAGCATGTTAAAAATGCCAAGGGATTTTCTGGGAACAATAGTCCAGCTGTTCTGGTCATTGAGTATGGTAATTGATGCCTCTCTGGACTTCCTGGAGGAGGTGGTGGTAACTGTAGTAAATTTCAAGCTATTGTTTTTCTCTTCAGGAGGCATGTAGACATGGTCACTACATCTTCCCTTTCTGGCTTTCTTCAGTTTTGCCTCTAGCAGGGATTCTTGTGTTTAGTTTTTACACTGACTTCTTTGAGGTTCCATTTCCTCTCTGACTGTATATCAATTCCTCTCTACTTTGGTCTCCTCTAGTAAAATAACAATACTATTTGAATGGATAAAGTAATATTTATATATTTAATAAAATATTATTTAATGGGAGCCTGGAATTTAGCTCAGCAGGCAGAATTGCCCGCCTTGAAAGTGCTAGGTTGTGTGTTTCACCCCTGGTACCTAAAAAAAAGTGTTTTAAACTGCAAAGAAAGAAAATAATTTTACTTGTGAAGATGTAGGTTAACAAGATTTTTAATTAAATATGTCAATGGCAAATTAAACAATGTTATTAGTCATATTTAGAATCTAAAGATGTTGGGCTGGTTATAGAGCTAAGTGGTCAAAGCACCTGCCTGGCAAGCACAAGGTCAGGAGTTCAATGCCTGGTACCAAAGAAAAATCTACAGTTTTCAACCATGTAGGGCTATAAGTACAACTATTGAAATTGATAGTTGTTCATTAAAAAGCTCAATGTTTCTGTTGCCATCTATGAATTACCTAAAATAACATGGTAACTACAATGAGTAATAAACTGGGCACTATACCATTGCTATTTGCTGAGAGCTGCTTTTATTTTTTCCCCACATAGTTGAAAGATGAAAATGATTGGTGATGATAGATAGAGAAACTGTGATAATATTTTTTTCAATTTTATTGGATATTTCACTACATCAATTAAGTACATTTTATTTGCTACAATTATGCTAAGTGAAATAAATAAATAATTCTTAATGTTACAGGCATCTGTGCTATTTAGAAATATAGGCAGTCAGATAGTGATATAATGGAATGAATCTCCTGACCTTCTGTGCCTGGTAGGAGTTTGTGTTCTATAAAATAGAAGAATGAATTTTAGGAACAATGGAGGTGAAGAGCAGAATAAACTATTGAGAGAAAAAATTGAAAGATTTTTGCTCTAGATAGGATATTACAGCAGTGGGAAGCAGGCCAGGGGACATTTACCCTGAAGTCACTTACCCCTCCCTTAGGCAACTTACCTGTGGCATAAAAAGAGGCCCAATCAGCTACTGGCACATCAGCAATGCCACCTTTATGCACCACCGAAGTCAAAAAGTAGATATAATCCCCCTCACCATGTATCCAGCAGAAAAAGGCAGATGTCTAGTGATCATGCTGTACTCTCCACTTTCTTAGAATAAAGGCCATTTTTAATTTATATTCTCTCCTTTACCACAGTGAAAACACTATCAGAAAGCTCCTGTCTGAGAGAACAGGAGGGGTCATAAGTGGGTTGTCTGTATCTTCTAGGAACTTTATAGAATAAAATCATGGGGTGAGATGGGTTTAAGGTGGGGAAAATTGGGAACTCACAAGGCAGGTGGTCAAAACTTTGGACAGAGGTATATTTAGCCAATATAATTAATAGTTCTGGTAAAATCATTTACACTGCAGACAAATGGGGAAGTGAGGTCATAGAAAGCAGGCATTTTACAGAGCAGTAACTCTCCTCTATGGGACTGGGAGGGTGACTCCTGACTTCAGTAGGGTGACAGGGAACTATTTAGAAAATCAATTCTTATGATATGGACGCATTTGCTTGGTATTTTCTCTTGAGGCCTGTCCCATAACAGGAGGTATCTGTCTCCCCCATAGCTGCAAGATATGTGGGCTTCTGAGCTGGCTACATCTAGGACCTGATCCTGCCTCCCTGGCTATATATTTCTAACTAACTCAGCTGCCTATAACAACAGAGCTGGCCCCTCAAAGGAGCCAGAAAATAAGTTCACATTGCTTGCAGGATTGGAAGAGACAATCACTTCCTGCTGTGGGCCAAATCTTAAAACAAAAGGTATATTAAATACAACGAAGTGCTGAGGACCAACAGTCCAAACAGTTCTCTGATCACCCTGAGGAACTCAAGAGTCACCATCCCAACCCTCTACAAGAAGAGTCTCTGCTCTTAAACATGCCCACTTACTACGACTTGCTCTCCCATTTGCTCCCAATTTAATCAATTTTACTTGAGCAATTAAACTTATTGGTTGACCACATTTCCACTTCGCCTTATGCTTAACTTTCAGATTCCCATTTTTCCCCTGCCCTGGACCCATCTAACCTCGTGATTTCACTCTATACAAGTGCCTCAAAAAGACAAAGACTTTGGCAACCCACTGAGACCCTTCCTGTCTCTCAGACAAAAGATTTCCTTCTCCCAGTAAATATATTCCATTCTTAAACACCATCATTCCTAAAATTCATTCTTTAATTTTAAAGAACACAAACTCACACCGGATATATAGTAGGTAAGAAGTTTCATTCCCCTATACCATTATCATGAGCCAAATTAACATGACTATACTTTTGTAATGTCTGAAATTTGTTTCTTTTCCTGCAGTTTCAAGTGATTAATACAACTCACAGTGATTATAGTCCAGGCAATATCTAAAATTGTATACAACAGTCATTATAAGTGTAAAATAATAGCTTTGACTGTATTATTTAGCAAGACCTAGACTTTGCCATGGCACTAGGTTATATCTTATAAAAGAGAAGGTTCACCTATAATTGTTCAGAAAAATTTCTACATGTTTGGCTGCTTAAACAATTTTTAATTAGATAAAACGTGTATTTTTTTCAGTTTCTAGAAGGCTTTTATTATATTATTGAAAGTGATCTGTAGGCCTCTAGGACCTTGGCTATAATTTGATGCTTAATTCTGTTTTGAAAATTGTATGAAGGTTTATTTTTATCTTAGGAGTAAACTCACACTGCATTGACACTGATAGAGTGAATCAAAAGCCCACTGCATTAATTTCCATTGGATACTCGTAGCATAGAGCATGTGAATTACTGAGGAGGTAAATTAGCTCCATACATAGACAAGAATCAGTACTGTTAGGATTTTATGGCCCAATAGAGAAGCAGAATGATAGGATTATTTCCAAAAGATGAAAAATATTTCCAAAAGAAGAGAAATATAAACAAAAAGAGGCCTTTATTCTGAGAACATGGAGAGGGATGACCGGCACCCCCCCACGGCGGGAGTCCAGTGATCTCTCTAGTGGATATGTGGGGTGGGGTTATGTAAGTAGCCTCAATGTGGGGTGGAACCTAAGGAGGACTTTAGGGATGCACAGGTAGCCCATTGGTCTTAGGTTTGGCACCATAGGTAAATTTCCATTGGCGGGAAGATGGTGTCACTGGTAAATTCCTAGGGGTGAGAGAGATAGGGGCTTCCTGCTTTCCGCTGAGGCTTTCCTGGCTACAGAGTCCTGTCTGGGCCAAAACCTTTCACAGAATACAAGAAAAAGTAGCAGTGTCCTTTCTATTTAAAGAATGTGGAGAGGAGCCTACAGCCACCAAGGGTTTGCCTTTTTTTTCCGGTGGATTATCGGATTATAGGGTATATGGGAAATTTGGTGGTGGTGGTACTGACATTGATATCATGTAGGGAGCTGATTGGAATTTTCTTTTGGCCCCTGGGAAAGGAATGAGGAAGTTGTATACAGGGAAAAAAGAGGAAGTAGCCATATGGGTAAGCATCCCTAATTTGACATTTCACCCTGATGAACTACCACCATGATGCCCTATAATTTATTCTAGGGCAAAACGGTTTAAAGTACATTCTGCAGTTTAAGAAATGAAAATAAAGTATTTTTGCTACATGTCTTCTTCCATGTTTAGTGGTAAACAATTCACAGGGAAAATTTCCAGTCATTTCCTTAATGCATTGTGGGTAGCATAAACAAAACTACAGATCAGTTCACTTTCAGAAAACAGAAGCAGCACTAACTAAAAGGCAGGAATAAAGCCCTTCAGTGCAAATGTCCCTTAAGAGGTGAGATCAACATTTAAGAATACAATCATCTACTGATTTCTCTGACTTCAAGAAAGAGAAAAATTTATACTGGTATTGCCATAGGGGAATGAAACTCCCAGTCTACTATGTCTGGTATGAGTATGTGTTCTCTGAAGTCAAAAAATGAATTTTAGAAAAAACAGAAGTCAAGATAATATAATTATTGGAGAAAGAAAGCTGGTGAGAGAGAGCAAGTGCGTCCTAACTGGATTGGCAAAGACTGTCTTTTTCCAAGGACTTTTATAGAGTAAAATCTTATGTTGAGATGGGTTGAAGGTGGGGAAAACTGGG